AATTTTTTTGAACATAGTTGAACTTTCAATCTTTTATTTTGTGGCATTTGGATTTTGTGTTTTATTTAGAAGGCTCTTTTCTACACTAACATTATTTTGAGGAACATCTTAGCATGATTGATTTGGGTATTTTAATGGTTTCATTTTGTACATTTTGGTTTTTGATTCAAATGAAATTTAACCTGGAGTAGGAAGTGTGAATTTAACTTTTCCTGGATGGTCATTTAGATTTGCAAACACGTTTTACTGAATAATCGTCTCTCCTCTTCATATTTGAAACATACCTTTATCAGATATTAAATGACCATATGTATTTTGGAATATTTTCTTTCTTTTTTTTTTGTAGTTGGGATTGAACCCCAGGGGCACTTAATCATTGAGCCACATCCCCAACCCTATTAAAAAAAATATATTTATTTAGAGACAGGGTCTCGCTGAGTTGCTCAGGGCCTTGCTAAATTGCTAAGGCTAGCTTTGAGTTCAAGATCCTCCTGCCTCAGCCTCCTGAGCAGCTGGGATTGCAAGCACGTGCCACCCTGCAGGGCCTATTTATGGTTTATTGATTCTGGTTTCACATGCTAGTACCATGCTGTTTGGGAGATTTGGGGTTTTTTTTTTGTTGTTGTTGTTTATTTGTTTTTTAGTACTGAGGATTGAATCCAGACATGCTCTACCACTGAGCCACAAATTTAACCTGGAATATGAAGCCACAATCCCCACTGCTTTCCATTTTTTTGTTGTGAAGAAAGGTCTTGCTAAGTTCCTTAGGATCTCACTAAGTTGCTGGGGCTGGCCTCGAACTTGCAATCCTCCTGCCTCAGCTTCCTGAGTTGCTGGGATTACAGATGTGCACCACCATACCCAGCAGTACTACACAGTTTTACCATAAATATTCTTTGAAAGAAAAAATACCTGAGAAGATTGGTTGCCTTTTATTACTCTCATTTTTAGAATTTTCCTAGTCATTTTTGTTTGCTTATTTTTCCAATGAATTTTTGGATCATTTCTCTAATTTCTCCTCAATTTAAATTACATAATTAAATGCATTTCAATAGTGTTAAATATGTATTAATTCAGGGTAAATTGATGTGTCTTGCTGGTGTTGAATTTTCTTATCCAACAATTCAGTGCGCTTTTTCAAATGACCTGAAACATTTTGTCTTTTTATGGTTGTTTGGGATCCTTACAAATTAACATTTCAGGAAATGACTGTGCCATACTTTCTGTGGCTCCCTTGGCCTCTAGGATTAAGTCTAAATGTCTTAGCTTTTCATTCAGGGATGGCTATATCCTGTTTAAAACTTGTTTTGCCTCTCTCTCTCTCTCTTTCTCTCTCTCTCTCTCTCTTTTTCCTGTGGTACTAGGACTCTAACCCAGGGCAAGTACTCTACCACTGAGCCACATCCCCAGCCCTTAAAACCTATTTTGCACATGTCTGCTAACCTGCAACATTCAGTAGCCTGTGGACAAGCTTTGTCCTTTGATGCCTGTCTGCTTGGGCTCATTCTGTCTTCCTGACTTTCCTTCCTTTCCACATATACAAAATGCTTTTCTGTAGAAGGACCCTCTTGATGACTCCAGTTGAAATGACCTCTGTCTTCTTTGACATCTGGAACTTTTATTATATGCACCATTTATCTTGTAACTAAGCCAATATCACCTTGTAGCAGCATTTGTGTGATTGAAACTAATTGCCATTTATTTCTTGTGTGGTTGAAAAATGAACAGTTAGTGAGTATGTGTCTTGTTTCCTCAACTCCATCATGAGACCTCCGGGAGCCTGAGGCGGCCTATGCGCACGCATTCTCTAGGACAGGCCCATGCACGTAGTAACAGTAGCCGTGGTGATGATAACTCACATGATGTCATGCTTTCTGTGTGCCAGCATTTTCCATGTATGAACTCAGTGGAAAAATATGTGAGGGTTTGGTGTCGTGTGTATATTTGACCTCAAGCTTAACTTTTGAAGGGGATTATGAGAAAGAGATCACTCATCAAGATACCCAGAGAGTAATTCTGGGTTAGAACTGACCATTGAGGAAGATGAATTTTCTTAGGGCAGCCCTGACATTTAGTGGGAGTGGAAGTGGCCACGGCCTGAGAAGGAGGAGAATCGGAGACGCCCTGGGTTCCATGGTGGCCAGAGACCAGGAGCCTGTCCATGCTCACGCACTCCTTCCTGCAAGGACAGGGTTAGAGCTCTGGAAATAAATCCTGGCTCCTGCAGGGCCTTGCTGAGGCTTCCTTCCCACAGCCTGATCCGCTGCAGGATGGCTCAGGTGCCCTGGGGACAGGCCTATGCACAGCGCCTTCCCTCCTGTCCACAGTACCAGGGTTCCCCACCCAGCTGGCTCTGGGCCACTGGCCTCTCCTGCACTTGGAAGGTTCTTGAGGAGTGACCATGCCATGCGGGAGTGAATGTGCTGAGAGGGTCGATGGGGAGCAGCCAAGTGAATGGGCTGATGGAAATTAATCCCCACCCCTGGGCCTTTTGTCTCCTTTTGATCATCATTACCCTCTCGGGATCTTTCCTGTGTCTCAACACTGCAAAGCATTGCAGGGTGCGGGAGACTCTGGGTGCTTCCACCCCAGCCTCCAAGTTACAGCAGCCAACAGGCCACTGCCCGTGCTCTCAATCTGCAGCTCGAGCATTTGAGGGCCTAAAGCGCATCATTTATGTGTTGAAAACTGGGGAGCTCTGAGGATGCTTCATGAAACTTCTGCGCCAATGTATGTGCCAGCCCAAACTCCATGTCTCCAGCTAGAAATACCCCCTTATCCTTTTACCAGATACAGATAAACACGTCTGAGCACTGTGTGTCATGAAGCTTTGGGGTTTAAAGACAGGAGAATGTAGGAGGAATAAAAAATTAGCTTTTGGGGACACTTACTTGCTAAAGGGGCTAAAAGTTTCAGTGCCTTAGTCAAAGGTTGCACATCTAATTGAAAGGATGAGCCACTTAAGAAACAGATCTGTTTTCTAGGGAAAACCCTGGGGGACTCTAGCTGGCTCTGTTGAATCCCCAAATGCCCCAGAATAAATGCGGTTGCTTTCTGTCCAGCATTATCATCAACACTTTGGATGCATTTTGCTGAAGCTGTCTCTGAAACTAGGAAAGCATTTTAATTTGACGCAGACTATAGGGTTTCCCCCATGCAACTTTGCCCAGAGGTCCAGAATGAATGAATGCCGTTTTATATTTTGTATTTATTTAAGGTTCAGATGAGCTGTACTAGTACTTTTCCTCTTCTTGGAGAGCTTCTTTAGGACGCTGCCACAGAATTTTTCATATATGACTCAAACACCCATCATAGGTGTCATAGCATTCGTCTGCCTCAAAGATGGGGACTGTCCTGTCCTTGAATTCCCTACCTCCACCCAGAGCCTGGCACCTGCTGGGTGTACGGTAAACATTTGCTGAATGAATGAACAGATGAATAGAGAGGCTGAGTTCCTAGCACTAAAATAGCCATGAAGTAGGAAGGAATTTGATGCTAGAGCCTCAGGAACTGCCAGCTTTATACCCTTGAGGCGGCACTGGCTGGGCTCCTCTTTTTGTAATCCTGAAGTCAGGTATTTAATAATTGAAGAAGCCAGCCCTTCCACGGTTTGGGCTCCACTGAGCTCACATCCAGCCTGCTTCCGCAGTGCCAACGTTCCCTCCGGGCTTAGCCACACTATGTCTGCTCTGCCTGTGACCCACCCCCCACGCACCATCCCTAGGGATCCTGCAGGGCCCCCAGGCCCAGCCACGCTGTCAGGTCAGCTGAGCTCTGAATGCCCAAACCCAGGTGGCCAGGAGCCAATTGCCACAAACTGTACACAAAACCAAGCAGAAGGAGGGCTCACGCCACCTTCTCTCTTGTTTCTATTTCTTCTTTTCTACCTCTCCTTGCTCTCTTTCTCCCCTTTCTTTGTGTTATCCCAGTCTTCTCTCTTCTCTCCAGCCTTACCTGGACAGGTTAGTGGCATTTATTTATACAAAGATATCAAGAATTACCCACTCGAATTGGCCCAGCACAAGCTGGGAGCTTCTTTGGGGCTGATGTTGATTTAGGATGGAGGTGTCTTGTCACCATCCCAGAGCTGAAGATCAAGAAGCCCTGCCTGCCATTCTGAGGGTAGGAAAGAGAGAATTGTGCAATGGATAGAATAGATAGAGTAGTGCAATGCTCGTAGCTCCCAGCAGGAGCATTCATTCTCCTTAACCCCATGTGGATCACCGTTCTATGTATCCTAACTCTTCATCTCTCTCCTCTACCTACCAGGAACTCCTTGTAGGCGGGTGATTTGTTTTACCTTCCTATGTCGTCAGGCCTAACATAGGCCTGCCACCTAGTACAGTCATCCCTAGTTCAGCTAGGAAGCACCAGCTGTGAAGCACCAGGCCCTGGGGGTGGAGAGGTGAACAGAACACCAAGGAGCCCACAGTCTTACCAGAGGATCATACATTTGGCTAATACTTGGAAATGCAAATGCAGGGGTCAGGACATGTACAGGGAGACCTGCCCCAGCCAGAGGATCAGGAAAAGCTCTCCTGAAAAATCCATTTACACTGAATCTTAAGGGATGGATGGGGATTAGATGAAGGGAATATGGAAGAGTGGATAGAATAAGAAAGAACATTGGATGGATGGGTGGAGGAATGAATGGAAGGATGGAAGGATGGATGCATGGGTGGGTGAACCTAGCATTGAAGTCTGAATTCAATGCCACAGTAGTACAGAATATTCTGACTGGCAGTGGGAGACAGAAGGTGAATCCGGGGTGTCTTGCTAGGTACGTGGTGGTGGGAGCAGAGTCTTCATTGCCTTCCTCGGCTGGTCTGTGGGCCAGAGGTGCCAGGAATGGCGCATGCTCTTGGGAAACACGTGAAAGGACACACCAGCCTCCTCTGCCAGGCATGGGGGACCCTGGGACTACGGTGGAACTCCTCAGCCTGGGTCACATGCCCCTGCCAGCCTCACACAGCTCACCCAAATCTCTTCTTCCTACCCAGATGAACGGGAAGTTGTTCAGAAGAAGACCTTCACAAAATGGGTGAACTCCCACCTGGCCCGAGTGTCCTGCCGTATCAGCGATCTCTACAAGGACCTGCGGGATGGGCGGATGCTCATCAAGCTGCTGGAGGTGCTCTCCGGAGAGATGCTGGTAAAGCCCCTCTCTGTGCTGGGCCTCTTCCTGGACCCATGGCTGGTACCATCAGCCCCATTTTAGGAAAAGACATGGTCAGGGTACCTTCAATTCTCATGGCCTGCCAGGGTTTCTCCTTGTTCTTTTGGACTTCCCGATACTTAGAATGTCAAGTGTCCACATGGCTGACTAGGTCCCCTGACCTCTTCCCAGAGCTTTTTGTCCCTTCTGACCACTCCCACAATGGACAGTTAATTGAGCTCTTATTATGTGCCAGGCATGCTTCTCATAGAAGCCATGCAAAGCACTGTTGTTCTCACTGGAGTCTGGGCCTCTGGGGCTGCCTGAAATGGCCTGAGCCTTAGCCCCCTCACATGGGCTGAAATGTGTGTGTTGTTGGAGAATTTACATCTTTCCTGGAAGCCAGAGGAAAGTATGGAAGGTAGTTTAGCCATGTGATTTCCCACATGTGTTAGTAGAATCTCTTAGAGACCCTCCCAGCAGACCCCACCTGGTGGTACAATTGCCTCTGAAGGAGAAGTAGGTGAAAGTGCTTGTTTTGCTCTGTTACTTCCTTGGTGATCTTGGGCCTGTCAGATAGGACCCTCTTTGCTTCCATTTCCACGATGCATAGACTGAGAACAAGGATACGTGTACCTGAGGAAGTACTCTGAGAACCTTGGGGTTTGAATGAAAATGTACCTCACCTTTTCAACTCCAGGCTGAAGTTCTCTTTCTTACTTGTTTTGAAATGCCACCGAAGAGTATTACCCTTGAGATCCTTTTGAATGGGACATTTAGCATCCCTGATGAGCCCCTTGGGTTTGGGCTGGAGGCATTTAGTGCAGGGAGGAGCATGATCCGGCGGGCACGGGTCTGTTATCAATCACCAAGCTTTGAATTATTCTTGTCACTGACCTGCAGTAATTAGTTCTTAGAACTGTGTCTGGAGCATAGTAAGTGCTCAATTAACTGTTTGTCCTATTATTGTGTTCGAAGGCCATTTGGTGCCTGCTCAGAAGGCTGTATTCAGACCCAAAAGGGCACCCATGTAGTCTGATTGCTGAGCTCTGAGTGCTCACAACAGGGAACCTCCTACCTTTGCTAAAAGGAAAGCAAGAGTGACCCGTTGGCCAGGGAGAGTGGAGGGTGGTGCTGATGGCAGGAGCTGGTTCAGCCTGCAGACACCTGTGTAATCCCTCTGTGCCAACTGGTGCCATTGCTGTCCCCCAGCCAAGGCCCACCAAGGGAAAGATGCGCATCCACTGTCTGGAGAACGTGGACAAGGCCCTGCAGTTCCTCAAGGAGCAGCGTGTGCACCTGGAGAACATGGGCTCCCACGACATCGTGGATGGCAACCACCGCCTGGTCCTGGGCCTCATCTGGACCATCATCCTCCGCTTCCAGGTGGGTCCCAGGGAGGAATTCAAGGAGGCCTCTTGGCACTTAGGGATTGTACAAAATGGTGACTAGAGAGCAAGTGAGTGTGTACCTTCTGGGAGTCTAGAAACCCATCTACGGGACAGAGGTCTTGGAAGGAGAGCCTATCCCGTGTCATCCCAAAGTGCCGAAGCTCAGGGGCATCCCTCAGTTGTAGAGCAGTGTCTTGAGGGACACCATAGAAGTCAATGAGAAATAATAATAATCAGGGTCCAGATTATTCCTGAGGACATTTGGAAAGGGTGAGGGAAGGAAAGCAGGGCTTTTGACCCGCTGGCTTGAGGGTGGCCAGGAGGGAGAAGAGAACAGCCAGCCACCGATAAGGCCTCATCTCAGTGGTCCCGGAGGAGGGATGTCACTCCACGCAAGTGAGGAAGAGTGGGTGGTCATAACAGCAGGACGAAAGGGCAGGGGGAACCGCTAATGAAACACCGCATCATCCAGCTTTCCTGTTGTTCTTCCATCCTGGGGGGCATCGTACTGACCGGAGGAATCAGGGCGTGGTGTCGTCGGTTCTCAGTGTCCTGCTAGAGTTTCCCAATTTAAGCTGTCTCCTCTGACGTGAGGAAGCCATCCCATGTGCTCGGGCAGACTGAGGCCACAGGGACCAGGGCCTCAGGGTGGTGTTGCTGCAGAGCCGGAGCTGTGGACGGATGGCTGCAGAAGAGGACAGAGGAAGGGCGTCCCTCAGGGATCTGTGCTAAACTACTCCCCCCGCCTCCTCTCTCTGCCATCCTCAGATTCAGGACATTGTTGTCCAAACTCAGGAAGGTCGTGAGACGCGGTCAGCCAAAGATGCCTTGCTGTTGTGGTGTCAGATGAAGACGGCAGGGTATGTGTGCCTCGGCAACCTGCCACTACCACGTTCCCCCCCCCCCCCCGTCTCTGGCTCCCCCCGGGGGCTGCCATCCCCAAGGGACACAAGAATCACCACCTAGAACTGTAATAGCTCCAACATTATCGATGCTGCCAGTCCTGACCTGGTTCTTGGGGCTGAGGCAGGTTCTTTTCTAAAGTTGCCTGAGGTCAGACTGTGGGGCCTGTTGGGTGTGTAGGCCACAGCCATGGGAGAGCGTCTTTGTGTGGCTTCGGTCTGCCCCCTGGTGTTGAAGTAGCTCAGAAGGGACAGATCTGTTCCTCTCCTGGCATATTGGCCCTCAGTTTACACACTTGTTTATGGCTCCAAAAGAATCTATTTCTCATATTTTTTTTTTGGTACTGGACATTGAACCCAGGGGCATTTATCCACGCTGAGTCATACCCCCAGCCCTTTTATGAATTTTATTTAGAGACAGGGTCTTGCTGAGTTCCTCAGGGCCTTGCTAAGTTGCTGAGGCTGGCTTTGAACTCACGATCCTCCTGTCTCAGCCTCCCAAGTTGATGAGATTACAAGCTTGAGCTACCATGCCCAGATATTTCTCAGATCCTTTTTTTTGGAGTTGGGGGTGGGTACTGGGAATTGAACTCAGGAGCACTTGACCACTGAGTCATATCCTCAGCTTTATTTTGTATTTTATTTAGAGACAGGGTCTCATTGAGTTGCTTAGGGCCTCACCATTGCTGAGGCTATCTTTGAACTTGTGATCCTCCTGCCTCAGCCTCCCAAGCCAATAGGCTCACAGGTGAGCGCCACCACACCTGACCTATTTCTCAGATCTCACTGTTTCTCTTGAATATTTTAGGTACCCCCACGTCAATGTCACCAACTTCACCTCCAGCTGGAAGGATGGCCTGGCCTTTAATGCCCTGATACACAAGCACCGGTAAGAGGAAGGAGAGAACTGTGGGGACGGACTGGGTATTTGGATGTGTTGCACTTAACACAGGGGCCCAGGGAAGGAAGGCTCCTCTGCTGTTTATTCTCCTTTCGCCCTTGGCCTCCCGAATGCCCATGCTTCCCTTAAGTTCCATTCGCACCTGATGCCCACTTCCTCACCAGCTGGTGCTCACAGCAGCCCCTCTTCGCTGTTCTTGTCTCTCATTTCTCCTACCTGGCTACCTTCCTGCATCTGTCCAGTGTCTTTCCATCATGCTAGGGCTGCCCTCTTAACTGTCCATCTTTGTCCCCAGGCCTGACCTGATCGATTTTGATAAGCTGAAGGACTCCAATGCCCGGCATAACCTAGAACACGCATTTGATGTGGCTGAGCGCCAGCTGGGCATCATCCCGCTCCTCGACCCTGAAGGTGAGCCAGCCCCCCTCACTATTCTAGAGAGAGCCGGGCTGAAAGGGTTCCTGGAGGCTGGCCAGGTGCCAGGTGCACTCAGGCACGGGGAGGGCGTGGAGACAGGCCAGGGCTCTGCACTGGACCAGCTCATCAGCTCCAAGCAGGTTCCAAGCACCTCCCCTGCCTATACACAGGTCTAGTGTGGACCTTGGATCCCTCTTTCTGCCTTTGTGGTCCTGCTGTGCATTTCATCACTGTGTGAATCAGACCTTCTACTCTCACCCCATTGGCTGTCACTTGATGCCTGTGGTTGAACTTGTGCCAGAGGAAGAGGGGCTGAACCTCAGCCTGACCTTTCTGGCTTTGGTTTGGTGCTGAGAGGGCACCCTTTCCCCTTACAGATGTCTTCACAGAAAACCCCGATGAGAAATCCATCATCACGTACGTGGTGGCATTTTACCATTACTTCTCCAAGATGAAGGTGCTGGCAGTGGAGGGCAAGCGTGTCGGCAAGGTACTGAGCTCTTCTGTCAGTACAGCATCATTCTTTCCATTTGCCAGCCCCAGGCCCTGTCCAGTCTGAGAGCTTCAGGTCTGGGCCCCCAGCTACAGCGTGTGTGTGTGTGTGTGTGTGTGTGTGTGTGTGTGTCTAAAGCATTCTGTCAAACTCTCCAGCTGACTTCCAAAGCAGATCTTTGTCCAGAAAGAGGTTTCAGAGATTTCCACCTGCAGCTCCTAGTGTCTTCCGCGTGGAGACCTCATGAACATTCCCAAAGCAAACCCTGTGGGCTTATTTAGTTTGTCTGTGGTTTCAGACCTCTGAGGCTCCCACGGTTTACCAGAAACCCACCCCTCTGTACAGAACCTCAGGTCAGATTCCTTTCCCTTGCTGGGTCATTAAATTCTCAAGGATAGGAACCATTTCCCATTCATCTGTGTGTGTCTGGTATTTAATAAAGATGGTTCTCAATTCCTAAGAAACATTTTTGGATAAATGTATCCCTGTTTTTAAATAAATAAATCCCTAGCCACTCAAGAACTGGTATCCTGGTGCAGTGAGCTTACTAATCTTATTTATTTATTTTAGTTTTAGTGGGACACAATATCTTTATTTATTTTTATGTGGTGCTGAGGATCGAACCCAGGGCCTCACACATGCACCGCAGGTGCCCTACCACTGAGCCACAGCCACAGCCCGAGTTTACTAATCTTTTATAGGGTTAGAAGAAGGGGGCAAATTCTCCTGAACCCCAGCTCTCTGCCAATTTTGCAAGAGGGCTTTACCTCTTTCCAGCCCACCTCTTTTGCCTTAGCCACATTCTGGGTCTCAGGGGACAAACCCAACTTAGAACTCTCCAGGGCTTGAGAGGTGGGAGCCCCACTTTAGGCACCTTGATTTTGAGCCCCATTGGTGACCTCAGCAGTGGAGATGAGAATGACTGAAAAAGCAATTCCTTAGGTCATTGACCACGCCATTGAGACTGAGAAGATGATTGAAAAGTACAGTGGGCTAGCCTCAGACCTACTCACTTGGATCGAGCAGACCATTAACGTCCTGAACAGCCGCAAGTTTGCCAACTCGCTGACCGGTGTCCAGCAACAGCTGCAGGCCTTCAGCACCTACCGCACAGTGGAGAAGCCACCCAAGTAAGGGCACTTGGGAGGGTGTGGTCGTCGAGGGCTACCCGACTGTTCAAAGGTAGAGCCTGGCTCTGGGTGTTATGAAGTGTATCCTTGGGCCACAGCCTCAAGATTCAAGAGCTGCATGCACATCTGTCACCAGCATCATGCCCCTCTTGGCCACCCTACTCCCAAGTCATCAGTTTATAGGAAACAGGCATTGATGAGAAACCCTGACTCATAACCAAGGAAGGTACTTTGTAGAACCCCTGCCCCCCACCCAGTGAGGCGCAGGAGAGGAACTTGAGGCTTCTGAGTCTCCTTGGAGCACTAGTTTTGGAGAGCTCTGCTTTTGTCTGTGTCCTGAGCTGCGGGTTTGTTTTCTGGAGATGACCTCTGTATTCTCAGCCTCTGAGCTCTCTGTGTGGGGCCTTGTGATCATCAAGTATATCCATCTATGCCTCTCCCATCTGTCACTGCTCCTCTGCAAAGCACTAAGCCTGCTGCTCAGAATCTCAGCACCACCCCACCACATGTATACACACACACACAACCATGCAGGCACATATGTGGGCACACACAAAACTGCATGTGCATGCACATGTGCACAAACAACCACACACATGCATAGGTCTGTGCACACAATCATGGATGCACACAAACAACCATGCACACACAGGAACATATTCCCAACTGTGCACAAACAGTACATCCACACATGCACATGAACACACATACACCACACACACATGCATGTGTGTACAATGCAGTTATGCAGGCATATATATATACTCACAACCATGTGCACACGTACATGCATGTGTCCACAAACATGCACACAAACATGTATGTGCATGTGTGGTCTCCCTTCGTATCTCCCACACTCTCCATTCAAGACTCTCAAACAGGGTGTTACCCTTGGTTGTATAGACAGTGCTTCAAGGACTTAGCCCTCTTAAGTGCCTCTGAGCACTGAGATCCATCAGGCTGAGCTTGTGGTGGACATCTGGCTTATAGCCAATCCCAGCTGCCATGTGAAGGGTGTTTACATAAGTAGCCCCCTGAGTTTCATGAAGACGTGTAAAAGTCCCCAGTTACGTGGAGCTTAGAGCCCATGTGGCAGACATCAGTCCTGCTACCAGTTCTTCGTCTCCTGTACCCACAATCCTCCCAGAGCCTATCCTTTCCTGACCCCTTGAAAACATCTGGCTTATAGGACTTGTTGGAAGATCCAGCTTATTAGCACTTGGGGGGAAAGTTGCATTCAGTACAATATGTTCTTATGTGGATAATGCTGCTCCTAAGGTTTTATTGACTCAATTAAAAAAAAAACTGTCCAAAGAGCTAGTCAGAAGCCTTCATCCTTTGCAGAAGAGGGAAGAGTGTCTTTATGTCGATTGCTAAAACCTGATATCTACCAGAATATTTCAGTTAACTGTTCCCTGTGGAAGCAAATGATAAGTGCTGTGTTAGCCACTGTGTTTTCTCTCATATGCGTTATGAAAACCCAAACCCCTAAGATCTCCCTTGGTGAGAATGATAGATGTTGTAACAGGTAAGCAGACCTATGGCTTCCCTTTACTTTTCCTTTGTTTTTAAATCAATATGCTTTGCTGTCCAAGATCCAAAAACCTCTGTTGATGTCAGCAAGCAATTTGGCCATGAGGATCATGACACCAATCTCCTACCTCTGATTTCTTGACAGGTTTCAGGAGAAGGGGAACCTGGAAGTCCTACTTTTTACCATCCAGTCTCGGATGAGAGCTAATAATCAGAAAGTGTATACGCCCCACGACGGGAAACTAGTGTCTGACATCAACCGGGTACCGTGGTGTTTTCCATTATGCATTCTCAGTGGTGGGCTGAGCTCCTGATGCAGGCATGGGGAATGGCCCCTGGACGAGGTTAAACCAAGCCAGTTTGTTTAGTGGTATTAGCTGCTTGCTGGCTATTTGGAGGCGTTGTTCTGAGAGAACAGACTCTACCCACCATCTTTTTTTGTTCAACTCCTTATTCAGATACTCAGAACTATTCTATGGAGCCAGGTGCATAGCCTGTCCTTAATAGAACCTTTAATTTATCTTTGAATATGAAATATTAATTACTTATAACAAAAGAGAAATGTCTTAAGATGTTTCCAAGGGTTGGAGGTAATCCTTTAGTCAACAGGTATTTACGGAGCTTCCAGAGAGTCGGAAAAACACAATATTGGGTCTAGAGTCTGAGGCAGATTTAGGGGAAGAGGGAAGCGAGAGGTCACGACCAGTGCTCCTCCACTCTTTGTGTGGCCCAGACATGAAGCCCGAGCTTTAAACTGCCACCATGTCGCCCAAGAGCATTGAGATTTACCTAGAATCCCGAAATCACTGTCTGTCTGGTGAAAGAGACGGGAGCCCAAACCCACCCATTTCTTCTGTGCCCCAAGAATTCTCCTTCCGCCCCACACAGGCCTGGGAAAGTCTGGAGGAAGCTGAGTACCAGAGGGAGCTGGCCCTGAGGAGCGAGCTCATTCGGCAGGAGAAGCTGGAGCAGCTGGCCCGGCGCTTTGACAGAAAGGCTGCCATGAGAGAGACGTGGCTCAGCGAAAACCAGCGCCTTGTGACCCAGGTAATGGGGAGGCACTTGGGGATGGCAGGAGAGGAGAGTGCTTCAGAGGCCCTAGCTCTCAACTGACTTGGAGCCTGATCGGCCTCTCAACAGCAGCTGGATAAGCTTCTCCTCACCCTTGTAGCCCAGCTCCTTGAGATTGGCTGGATTAAGAATGGTTTCTGAGGAAGAACTCTCTGGAATTTGTCGTCTGTCTTTTTTTTCTGTGCTGGAGATCCAACCCAGGCCTCACCCACGCTAGGCCAGCACTCTATCACAGAGCCCTATACCCCCAGCCTGTATTAAATTTCCTTTTTAGGAAAGAGCCTCATAGTCCAGAAGTGGCCCCTAAAGTTGTCTTACGTGGGCTGTAGCATCAGCAAAAGTGGGGGTCAGAGTTGACACTAAATGATGGTTCTCTGGGAAAGGTGAAATCAGATGCACCTTTTGGAATCTAAGCCTCTAGGCTTGGGACATATTTTACCAGCTAAGAATGGACCCCAGGGCTGATTCTCCATCAGAGCATCTGTTCCCTCCTACTTAGAGCTTAGAATGAAATTAAATTCTGTCCAGAAAGGGGGTAGCGAGTATATTGAGAGCAATGGAGAGTGTATGTGCGCCCCAGATAGCACAAGGGTAAACCATCTGTTCGCAGCTTTGTGGCTTCTGAGAGCAAGCAGTCCCTCCTACCCAGAATCAGACAGGTCCTCTCTTGGCAGGGTGGGGGAGTGCCACCAGAGCTCTGCTAGTAATACGCCTGTCACATCACCCACGAGTGTGACACAGAGAATAAAATAAGGGACTGCTTTTAAAGGTTCTTGCAAGACATTTCGTTTTTGGAACTTGGCTCTGATAAGATAGACTGCCAAAAGACAGCAGACTGTCTCCTCGCTGGGAGTGCGCTTTCCCACCCAGCCGTTGTGCTGAAGGGACCTGCTTGCTCTCTACATTTGGGAATGAACTCGGGGGAATCTGATTGAACTGCCTATTGTTGTCCCTGGGGTACAGGATAACTTTGGGTACGACCTGGCAGCTGTAGAGGCTGCCAAGAAGAAGCACGAGGCCATCGAGACTGACACAGCTGCCTACGAAGAGCGGGTGAAGGCCCTGGAGGACCTGGCTCAGGAGCTGGAGAAGGAGAATTACCACGACCAGAAGCGCATCATGGCCCGCAAGGACAACATCCTGCGCCTGTGGAGCTACCTGCAGGAGCTGCTGCGGTCCCGGCGCCAGAGGCTCGAGACCACCCTGGCGCTGCAGAAGCTCTTTCAGGACATGCTGCACAGCATCAACTGGATGGACGAGATCAAGGTGGGCCCCAGGGACCACCTACCCCTTCCCCTACCCACCCCAAGTGGGTTCACCATGGGCCTTCGTGGCCCTGCAGTTAGCATATGCTCCCTTAGATACCGTTTAGCCAATCATATCCCTGAAGCAAAATGGAGAAACTGAGGCAGTAGAGTGTCAACATCATCTGCCTGTCTGCTGCTTGGCTCATTCTGCTCCATCCAGGCAGATGTCACCATCCCACGTACACAGTATCCCCAGTGACTAAGAAATCTTGGGTTTGTGGTCACTAGGGGCCAGCCTGCCGGATCAAGAAGAGACAGGCATTAATCAGGAGCCTGGAGAATCAGGCTGACACTGGTTGGAATCCACTCACAGTATAGGAACAACCAGAGTCTGAACTCTCCCCTGTACTCCAGTGGGTCTTGACCAAGGAAGTCACATCAGACTGACTGCAGAGCTTTCTAAAAATGCACATGCCCAAGCCTCGAGACTGATGTAGTAGACGAATACGGGGCTTGGGCTTTCCGTAGGACTGTCCATGGGTGATTCCAATGGGCACCCTCCGCATGAATTCCTGCTCTGTAATTTCTTCTGTCCTGAGCAGCAGCTCAGATACATGGACATGCCCTTGGGAGGGGTCCCATCTCTTCACTTCTTTTTGTCTGCTCTATCATGTCCTCCACCAGGCTCACCTATTGTCTGCTGAGTTTGGGAAGCACTTGTTGGAGGTTGAGGACTTGCTACAGAAGCACAAGTTGATGGAGGCTGACATCGCCATCCAAGGGGACAAAGTCAAGGCCATCATCGCAGCCACCCTGCAGTTCACTGAGGGGAAAGGTGAGCCCAAAGGTGTCTCCTATGGCCAGAGCCCCATCCTCTGGCCTGACACCCACTTTGGATATATCTTTAGAATTCTGCTTCTTTCATCAAGTAATAGTGCATGAAACTTGAGGATAGCCAAGCTCTCCAGATAGCAGGCAGCTGCCTTGGAATCTATACTCAGGAAACATTCAGAGCACTAATAAGACATCGTCCATCTTCCATTCTCTTTGCTAGTTCATTATGGCTGAGACCATTTAAATTTTTAGTTTCTGGTCTTAAATAGAAGATCTCACTGCCTCCTTAAAATTTCATTCTAAACTTTTTAATATCATGGACTGGGGATATAGCTCAGTGATGGAGTACATGCCCACCACACACAAGGCATGATTGCACACAAGCAGTTTGAATGCAATCCCCAATATTGCAAATAAATAAATAAATAATGTTGTATCATGCATTTCTATTGAGAACTGATTTAACTTTTAATCTCTCTTATTCCTAAAGTTTAGTGGGAACCAATGATAAAGAATTTGGCCTGACCTCTGAGTAACTGAGAACTCTGGCATCCAATCCTAAAGCCCCAACAAGATAGTAGCTTCGAGAGTGTATGGTTCTTAATCTGGTAACCGAGCTGAAAGTTGCCTATAAATAAAGCCCTTCCCTATAGTCATCCTCCCTCTTCCTATTCCAGGGTACCAACCTTGTGACCCCCAGATCATCCAGGACCGTGTCAGCCACCTGGAGCAGTGTTTTGGGGAGCTGAGTGATATGGCAGCTGGGCGGAAGGCACAGCTAGAGCAGTCCAAGAGGCTCTGGAAGTTCTTTTGGGAGATGGATGAGGCCGAGAGCTGGATCAAGGAGAAAGAGCAAATCTACTCCTCCTTGGACTACGGCAAGGACCTGACCAGTGTGCTCATCTTGCAGCGCAAACACAAAGCTTTCGAGGATGAGCTGCGCGGGCTGGATGCCCACCTGGGGCAGATTTTTCAGGAGGCCGAAGGCATTATTGCACGCAAGCAGTATGGGTACCCGCGGATAGAGGCCCGCGTCAAGGAGGTGTCGGGCCAGTGGGACCAGCTGAAGGAGCTGGCTGCCTTTCGTAAAAAGAATCTCCAGGATGCGGAGAACTTCTTCCAGTTCCAGGGAGACGCGGACGATCTGAAGGCCTGGCTGCAAGATGCCCACCGGCTGCTCTCTGGTGAAGATGTGGGGCAGGATGAAGGGGCCACGCGGGCCCTGGGGAAGAAGCACAAGGACTTCCTAGAGGAGCTGGAAGAGAGCCGAGGGGTGATGGAGCACCTGGAACAGCAGGCCCAGGATTTTCCCCAAGAATTTCGGGATTCCCCCGATGTGACCAACAGGCTACAGGCCCTCCGGCAGCTCTACCAGCAGGTGGTGGCCCAGGCGGACTTGCGTGGGCAGAGGCTGCAGGACGCCCTGGACCTGTATACAGTGTTTGGGGAGACGGATGCCTGTGAGCTGTGGATGGGCGAGAAGGAAAAGTGGCTGAAGGAGATGGAAATCCCAGACACCCTGGAGGATTTGGAGGTCGTGCAGCACAGGTCAGAGGGGCTCAGCCTCTGCTCACCTCCCCAGCCAAGGCCTGGGTGCCACCTTCCACCTCTAGGTCAGCAGGGGTCTCTGAGAGTCAAAGGATATCCTTGGTGCAAATTTCAGGTGGTAGGAGCCCTGAGTTCTGTTCTGGCTTTGTGGCTTTGGGCGCTTCACCCATTGGGCTCCTCACAGGGATTTGCTAGTCCAGTTGCTGAGTTCCTTCTCAGCTCTAGCAACCTTTGCTCAAGGAATTGAATGTGGAAAGTAGGAGCTGGTGAGGATAAAGGGGCTGTGAAGCTAGGACTGTGCCAGTTCTAGTGTCCTGTGACAGTCCCTAAGCCACAGAACTCCAAGCAGCTGCAGAGACCAGTTTGTAAACTAGCAGTCTGCAAGGCCACCCTCACTTCTGGTGTTCTGATTCTAGCAGCCTTCTGGAAGGGGAGGCATGTTCAGTGTGTGCATGGAGGAGAGGCAGCATTTCAGCAGCCTAAGCTCAGAATCCAGGGATAGAGGAGGATAGAGGCTGCTCCCCAGAGCCATGCTCAGGTGGCCCTGCACTGATGCCTGAAGGTCCTGGGCTCTTACCCAAGAAGGCTGACCTTCATAATTCCAAAGCCCACTCCCCTTGGCAGCTCTCCCTTGTCTACTCAGGAATGGAGCATATCCTTGCACTACAGAGGGCATCCTTTGGGTCAGGGTATCAGGGAGTGGAACCAGGTCCAAGAGCAGTAATCAAGACGTTGGAAGTGTGGCAGGTGGTCAATGGGTGATTGACTCCTCTGCCTGTAAACACTCCGTAACCTCTTTAGAGGCCTCCCTTCCCTTCACACTTCTCCATGGAGCCACCAGCCCTCTCCCAACCTGATCCAGGAAACGCTAAACCACGGAATTGAACCCATGAACCAGAAAATAAGGGTGTGCCAGAATATCTGTCCCCTTTTCCTGCTCACCTGAACAAATGATTTTAGGAAGCAGAAGGAGAAAGCACCTCACTGCTCCTCATTTTCTCTATCAGGTTTGACATCTTGGACCAGGAGATGAAGACTTTGAAGGGTCAGATCGGAAGCGTGAACCTTGCTGCCAACAGCTTGGTGGAGAGTGGCCACCCACGCAGCGGGGAAGTGCGGCAGTACCAGGACCACCTGAACACCAGGTCAGATGTGGTGGGACTTGGGCTGGGGGTACCTGAAGTATCCCTTGTGGCTATGCAGTGCCACATTAGTACCTTCAGTGCCCCTGTCTTTCTCAGCCACAGTCTTATACCTAGACCTGGGGCTGGGCAGCTAGGAGGAAAATCTGTGGTGAGCATCAGGGTGAGCAACCAGGAGGAGAGCCGCGGTCACTGAGCTTTGATGGCTGCACATGGATAGAAGGGGTTATAGACACTTGCGCTGGAAGGGACTTCTGAGTCCATTTAGATCAGCTGTATGGTACTCATGCCATATTTCCCTGGACATGCTTGGGCAGGGAAAATTGCTTTCTGAGAGCTCTTAAGTACTGTCCATAAAAGAATGCTCCCGCCTGTGCCAAAATGCAGCATCGATAATAAGGTTGGCTTGAATGAAGAAGAGAATTAGCAGGGAGCCTCGAGCAAGCTTCATGGTTGGAACAAAAAACAGGCCCCAAGGAGCCTTTAGAGAGGGGGTGCTTTCAGTGCAGGATGTAATTGCTCATTAGTTCTCGAAGGATCTCTAAGGACAGAGCAAATGCCTGCAGTCTCTGTTTTTACCCTAGGCTCTGCACACACACTGCCATGTGTTCTACACTTAGGCTTGAGCCTCACTCTGCCTGGGGTAATCTGGAAGATGGGCTTAGGGAAGACCCTGTTGTAAAGAAATGGACCTGTGCAGTGGAGACTCCACTGAGGGCCTAAGGGAAAGCAGGCAGGAGTGAGATAGATACTTTGGAGCTACTAGAATGGGGTTGATTGTCTCAGCCCTCAAGGATGGAGACTGTAGTTCAGAAGATCCCTTTATAAGTCTGGTGTTTATGCAGAGCAGGGAGACACCTCTTCACTCTTCTTTAAGCTTGTTAGGTTGTGTGTGAGAGAAAGGCAGCGGGAGTGATTGAAAGATTGAAAGACTGAGAGATTATTGTAGTTGCTACTTAACTGAGGAAATTAGAGCCATCTAAATCAGAGAAACTTCCAGATAGGAGGAACTTCCAGATAGGAAGAACTTGTCAGCTGCACAATGAACTGAAGCCAGAGACTCTTGATCTTTACAGACCCCTGATGCATGCCTCATCCCAAGTGAAAAATATCAAAGTGCCTGCCATTCTTAGATGAGGGAAAATCTGAGGCTTTAATAATGGTAAGATGGTTCTGCATTGAGTCTAAGAGTTGAAAAGGCCCGAGAAGTCATCTGGTCTACCAGGCATGGGAAGCCCACCCTCTCACAATGCAACTCACCCTCTTTTGGGCAACTTCTTTTGGTTAGAATGCCTGATTCCATGTTGAGTGGAAATTGCCTCCTGGAACTTGTACGTGTGGCTTTTGTTCACTCTGATACTTAGAGATGTTAAAATTTATTCTGATTCATCTTCCATGTGTAGCTCTTCAAATAGTTTTCAAAACAACTATTCTACTCCTCCACCCCAGTCCTACTTCCCTGCATCTGCTCTTCTCTGCCACTGCGCTTGTCCTCTGGTCCCTATCCTGTCTGTCCTTTAGGCCAGTGCAAGTTCATCTCCTTCCCATTTTCCCAGATGAAAAATGATCTTTCCCTCCTTTGCACTGGTTTCAAGCTTCACATCCTGCGTTGAATTATAATTACAGTCACACATCACTTAACACAGGAATACACTCTGAGAAATGAGTCATTAGGCAATTTCATCATCATGTGACCATTGTAGATAGAGTGTACTTATGTAAACTTAAATGGTCTAGCCCACAACACACCTGTGCTCTAAGGGTGTGTGTGTATGTGTGTGTGTTACAGTCTGTTGTTCCTAGAGCCACAATGCACAAAACAACATGAGATTAAATCAAGCACAAGAAAAAATTATGCAATCGAGACACGGTAAACATGAAATATTTGAGGCTGCTGGCTGACACAGCACACTGTTTCATAATAAACTTTTACAAGCAGAAGGAGCACACTCTAAAATAACATTCAGGAGTAGGTATAGTTAATATGTAGACCAGTAACATAGAACCAAGGAAGTAGCTCAATGGTACAGCCCTGGCCTAGCACGTGCAAGGCCCTGGGTTCAATACCTGGCACCACAAAAAAATACCACTGAGTAACAGTCATTTATTATTGTTATCAAGTATTATGTACTGTACGTAATTGTGTGTGCTAGACTTTATACAACCGGCAATGCAGTAGGCCTTACACCAGCGTCACCACAACCAGGTAGGTAACATGCTGCACTGTGACTTTTCTACAACTGCAACATATTTCTTAAGTGGTAGGCATCACAAATGAAATATCGTTATATGTGCAGGACTGTATGTATGTGTGAGCTGAAGGACTTGCCTACTTTTCCTATAGGCAAACAAAGGGCCTTATCTCTACCTATGCCCACCATGTTTTGCATAACAACCACATTCTGGTCTTAGGTTCACTCTGTTTGGAATATTCTTTTCCCAGATATCCACTTGGCCTGCTTTCCTACATTCTTGAGGCCTCGGCTCCATGTCAGCTTACTGGAAGAGCCCTCCCTGACCACCCCATGAAAGAAGCACGCTGTCCTCACCAGTCCTCTCTGCCTCTGTACCATAATCTGGCTTTATTTTTTTTTCTTTGCATGTTATCACTCTTGGTGATTACAGATGCATGTATTCATCCCTGCCCACTTGAGTGAAAACAAGATTTTCTGTTCTTTGCCATATTCCCAGTGCCCAGGTCAGTGTACTACACACAGCATGTGAAAGTTGTGTGACAGATGCTTAGTGAATGAGTGAACAGGGACAAAGCTGAAATATTTCTGCCTACTTGGCACATATGAGTCATTCAAATGCTCATCGAATGTGTGATCATCTTCACTCTGCATTCTAGTTAACCAAGATTTTTCTAAAAAATCTTGGGCCCAGGACCAACACTGGGTTCCCAGTGTTGCCTGATGCCAGTAAATAGAGTGGATATACCAACTTCCTCCTTGGAGATGGTGCTATGTAAGAGGAAAGTGTGGATTGGGAGGAAGACTAGACCCAACCCCAGCTTCTCTCCTTATGGGGGCTTCACTTGGTGACTGCATGGAGGCCACACAGGAAAGGCCTGGACAATCACGTTGGGACCTCTTGCCCAGGGGCACAGCCAGACCCTCTTGCAGGGGCATTTCACTGTCAATTCAGAATGATTTTACACCAACTTGGAGAAAGCCTTCAGCTTCTTTCCCCTGGCTTCCCACCCTCAGAGGAGCGTCTGTGTGCCAGGCACAGAATCCCCTTAGAGCACAGGGACCTCATCGTCTAGGAGGAGAGCTGAGAAGTCCTCAGGTCTTGCTTTTCTCGCTCATGCATGGTCTTCCCAATCCCTTCCCATGGGAAAGCCTTCTTTCTGCAGACCTGTCTTTCAGAGCAGACTATCCACTGTTGTCTACTTTGGGAATGACACAGTGCCTTCCACCTGGCCTGTCTACCTAGGCCCTCCACTTCCAACACCTGGGTGCTGGGATACAAAGATGAAAGAGAGTCTCAGGATCCTCCTCCTCCTCCTCTTCTTCTTCAAATATTTTTAGTTGTAGATGGACACAATACTTTTATATTTATTTTTATTTTTATGTGGTGCTGAGGATCAAACCCAGTGCCTCACATATGCTAGGTGAGCGCTCCACCTCTGAGCCCCAGCCCCAGCCCCTCAGGGTCCTCTTCTTAAATAGCTCACCTCAGTGGAGGCACAGCTCAGGTGGCGTCTGCGAAATCTGTCCTCATCTCCTCATCACTCCTTACAGTTCCCTTCATCCTCTCTGCCTTATTTGTGCCATGTACACGGTCCTTTATACAATAGATATTTTGTGAGCTTGGCTTATTTTTTTCTCTAAGTCATATACTCCATAGTTCAAGATCTGGTTTTGTCAGTATTCTTCCAAAGTCTAATCTAATGCTTCATTCCCTTGTGGGTAATAGAAGAGAGATGGGTTCAATTGGTGCATGAGCAGTGCACATCCTCTCATGTACTTATATATTATAATGGTGCAGAATGAGAAAGCCTGGGCCAGGGAGGTACCTCTAGTAATCTGGCCTAGCTGATAGGCAACTCTTTTTTTTTTGTACTGGGGATTGAACCCAGGGGTGTTTAACCACTGAGCCACATCTCCAGCCCTTTTTAATATTTTATTTAGTGACAGGGTCTCACTGAGTTGCTTAGGGCCTCACTAAATTGCTAAGGCTGACTTTGAACTCATGATCTTCCAGCAGAAAGCCTCCTGAGCTTCTGGGATGATGGGTGTGTGCCACCGTGCCTGGCTTGATGGGTAACTCTTTAAAAGAGGCTTATGTGCTGTGGAGCAACCCAGGTCCTTGGGACATCTGCCAGACCTTAGTATATTTCCCTGTTTCATAGCAACACTGCACTTGATGGTTAAGATAATGTTACCTATTTTAATTAAGATCCCAGCCAAAGTCTTCCTCCCTCTCCTCTTTCTCTTCTTCCTCTTCCTCCTGCTCTTTTTCACCAGGCCTCTTTTCTTTTAGGCTCTAGGGAATTTTTAACATGTCTGGGCAGGGCAGGGTTTCTCTGGCACTCTTATGTCCTAAAGTATCCTTGAAGTTAATCAAGTGAGCTTTCTAATTATTTTCAACATTTCTAAAACTCTGGGGAAGTTGTATACAGATGCTTCGTGACTTATGATGGAGTTACAGCCTGAAAAGTCTGTTGTAAACTGAAAATATTTTAAGTAGACAATGCATTTTGTCCAGGCACAGGGGCACTACTCCCAGCTACTTGGGAACCTAAAGTAAGAGGATTCCTTGAGACCGTCCTGGGCAACATAATGAGACCCTAGCTCAAAAAAGAAAAAAAAATGCATTTTCTCTGCCTAACCTACCAAACATCCTAGTTTAGAACACAGAACACCAGAAAGCATCCATTATTTACCCTCATGGTCTCATGGTTGACTGGAACAGCAGCCCACTGCCCCTGCCCAGTATCTCCAGGGAATATTGTAATTTTTATCAATAGCCCAGGAAAAGATTAAAATTCAAAGTATGGTTTCTACTGAATGCCTGTTGTTTCTGCACCACTGAGAAGCTGAACTTTGTGTATGCCCAAAGTCCAGCTACACGTGCGACCTCGACTTGCAAGTTCCCTTACCTGTGGTTGGGAATCACATCACTGCTTGCCCCTTGCTGATCAGAGATCTGATTGTTGGTTAGATAGCTCTTGAGTAAAATTAGACAAATGAATTTTGCTCATCCAGTTTGTTAGGTAGATACTTTTTGTTTTTCAGCATACAAGGTCTATGGTGGGGACTGGGTGAAAATCTGGGAAGGGATACTCTCTAGGAAGAGTTAAGGAACAAGGTATCTCTTTCCTCTGGGGTCTCATCCCACTCTGGCAGGTGGCAGGAATTCCAGAACATGGTGTCAGAGCGGCGGGAGGCGGTGGACTCAGCCCTCAGGGTGCACAACTACTGCGTGGACTGTGAGGAGACCGGCAAGTGGATATCAGACAAGACGAGCGTTGTGGAGTCTACAAAGGACCTGGGGCGGGACCTGGCAGGTGTCATTGCCATCCAGAGAAAGCTGACAGGACTGGAGCGTGATGTGGCCGCAATCCAGGCCCGCGTGGGTGCCCTAGAGCGTGAGTCTCAGCGGCTGATGGAGTCACACCCCGAACTGAAGGAGGACATTGGGTCGCGGCAGGCATATGTTGAGGAGCTGTGGAAGGGCCTGCAGGAAGCCCTGAAGGGCCAGGAGGCCTCGCTGGGTGAAGCCAGTCAGCTGCAGACCTTCCTGCAGGATCTAGATGACTTCCAGACCTGGCTGTCCTTGGCCCAGAAGGCTGTGGCTTCTGAGGACATGCCTGAGTCATTCCCAGAGGCTGAGCAGCTCCTGCAGCAGCATAAATCCATCAAGGATGAGATTGATGGGCACGAAGAAAGCTTCAAGAAGGTGAAGGCTTCCGGAGAGAAGGTGATCCAAGGCCAGACAGACCCGGAGTACGTGCTTCTAGGCCAGCGACTGGAGGGTCTGGATATGGGCTGGGACGCCCTGTGCCGGATGTGGGAGAGCCGCGGCCGTTCCCTCGAACAGTGCCTCGGCTTTCAGGAGTTCCAGAAAGATGCCAAGCAGGCCGAAGCCATCCTCAGCAGCCAGGTAGAGGGGCATGCAGGGCTGGGGCTCTCTTGGGGCAACGTCATTGGTGGTGAGACTTCAAATGAGCCGTAGAACTTTGGGGCCAAATGATGCTTTCCTTGGGCTCTTCATAGTGACTAACTGGGGTGGGGATGGGGGTCTCTTTCTTCTTCCTCATGTGCCTTTTCCAGCCTTGAGTCCCAGACTGTCTTGTTCTCGGGTTAGTCAGAAGTTACAGAAGTGAATCTTGCCCTGGTTGGCTCCCCTTCCGTGTGACTTTAGACACACTGTTCACTGGGTACCCTGGGTACTCTTTGCCCCAGCATAGAGTCTTCTTTTTGCCCAATTCTAAGGGACGCCATTCACACCTCAGCCTCTGCGACTGCATGTGGTGTTACTGCTTGGCAGGAGCCCTCACCACCTCCTCAGCTAGTCCTCATGCCTTGTCTGGAAACTTCCTTCACAGGAATACACTCTGACTCACACGGAGCCCCCAGACTCCCTAGAAGGTGCAGAGGCTGGGATCCGCAAGTTCGAGGATTTCTTGGTGTCTATGGACAGCAACCGGGAAAAGGTCTTGAGTCCCGTGGACTCTGGAAACAAGCTGGTAGCTGAAGGAAACCTGTACTCTGACAAGATCAAGGAGAAGGTGCAGCTGATTGAAGAAAGGTATTCTCTGCTTCGAGCTACCTAGACTACCCAGGGGTTTGGGGTGCTGGGCAAGGGCCCAGATTCAGCGTTATGGTGATGGGTTTTGGCTTCCCTTCTAGACACCAGAACAACAATGAGAATGCCCAGAAGCTCTCGGTTCTTCTGAGAGACAACCTAGAGCTACAGAACTTCCTCCAGAACTGCCAGGAGGTGAGGCCATCAGGCAGGGCTCGCTTTCCAGGAGATTGCTGTCTGGGAGCAAAGTGACCTAGAGGTGGGAGGTCACAGGAATTCTTTCTCACCTAGGAGTGGTAGGATTTCACGAATGGAGAACTGAGGGTCCTCAGCAGCCTAGGTCATCCTCTTAATCTTCAATTCCACATCCTTCCTTCCCCCCACCTCCCAACCAATCCAAAAAGTCATCCTTTGATTGGCCAGATTTAGGATAGGGATTCTCAAGGAGTAGTCTGAGAATTCTCTATATTGGAATCACCCAAGGGCCTGAACAGGACTGGCTTCAAGAGCGTGTAACCCTGTGCTTGGTAATGTCCTGCTGTTGCCATCTGAAAACTTGTGATACCTTTGAACATCTTTATTTTGCTCTGGGCCTTACAAATTGTGGAGCCAGTCTTGGCCCTTGTTAAAGCAGACTCCTGGGCCCCACCTGGGCACTGTTAAGTCAGGACCTTAAGGAACAGGGGAGAGAAGGATGCATCTGAAACAAATCTCCCAGTCGGAAAACTGCTGGCTCAGAAGGTCCTTGCTCATCTGGGACTCACTCTATAAGGAAAGACTTTAATCCGCCCTCCCAAGTCCTTCCATTGACAGGAATTCCTTTGTCATGGGGCTTTCCCTGGCTTCCTCCCTACAATCCCCTTTCTTCCTAGTCCAGACAATTTTGTATTCATCTCCCTCTGCCCTTGGCACAAGACAAGCTTGGTATGGTGCCAGGACATCTTGGAAGCATTGAATGCTCATCACAGTTCTTCCTTTCTTTTTAATTATAGGATCTGTCCCTGGCCTCTCCCTCACATACCATTTTCTCTGTGTTTATTAATGATTTCTCAACCTACTGCCAAGGAGGGATTTTATCCATCCATTCAGTAAAAACTTACTGAGCTCCTATAATATACCAGACCCTGTGCTAGATCCTGGAAATAGGGAGAGAAGAATAAATAATCCCTGGTCTCACATCACATACTCTCTAGTGAGGAAAATATATCTATGGCCACATTATAGCCTAGGGATCCAGAGTTAAGAGATTAGTTCTCTTCTGTGCTCATGCTTCCTCCCCTGGATCTCTTTCTGGTCAAAAATGTACAGTCAGGGAATGTTGGCAGTTGGCAATGACAACCCGCCATCAGACCATCAGACTGTTTCTGCCCACAGCTTACTCTCTGGATCAATGACAAATTGCTGACTACCCCGGAAATCTCCTATGATGAAGCTCGCAATCTTCACAACAAATGGCTGAAGCACCAGGCATTTCTAGCAGAGCTGGAGTCCCACCAAGGGTGGCTTGAGAACATTGATGCAGTAAGTAGAATGAGTGGGTGGTGGGAAACTCTCTGCTCAGATATTGTTTTGGTCAGCATTTTTGTTGCTGGGACCAAAACAATTAAAAAAAACCTAACAAGAACAATTTTAGAGGAGGAAAAGTTTATTTGGTGCTCATGGCTCCATTGCTCTGGGCCCAAGATGAGGCAGGACTTCATGGCCGAAAAGTGGGGTGGAGGAAAGCAGGTCAAGACATGGCCACCAAGAAGCAGAGATAGGTTTCGACTCAACAAGGACAAAATATAGATCCTAAAGGCAAGCCCCAGGAACCCACCTCCACCAGCCATACCCTACCTGCCTACAGGGGATTGATGCACTGATTAGATTAAAACTCTCATAACCCTATCATTTCACCTCTAAACTTTCTTGCATTATCTCACACATGAGCTTTTGGGGGACACTAAATATCTCAACCATAACAGATATATGCATGAGAATAGGGCTTCACCCACAACAAAGACACTGTCCTGAAGCTTGCTGGACAGTATAGAATTTGGCAGTGAAAAAAACTTTTCTAAATAGTTGTTCAATCTTCAGAGATCCCGATTCAACAAGTCTTTTTTAAAAAAAATTTTTTTAGTTGTAGATGGACACAATATCTTTTTTATTTTATTTTATTTTTACATGGTGCTTAGGATCAAACCCAGTGCCTCAAACATGCCAGGCAAGCACTCTACTATTGAGCCACAACCCCAGCCCCAGCAAGTCTTATTAAGTCTGGTCATAACTGGTGCCTCTTATGGATCCCCTGATTTGAGACAGTCCAGGGCAATGAAGACATCCAGTTGGAGCTTTCAACATCCGTGCTAGGACAGTAGATGTTTCTGTTTGCCTTTTATTATCCTCACCAGGACTCCAGTACTGTCCTGACAGGGTCAGGGGAATACATGAAATGACCAGAGTCATCCAAGGAAGCTATTAACCCTCATTGTTTGGATGGGCAAAATTACCAGGAAGCAATCATTCATAGCCCTCATAGTCCTCTGGATAGAGGACTGCTCTCTAATGAGCTTGCCCAGTAACAGGGGTTAGATCTGGGAATCATGTCCTTGTGCTCAGCCTGCTGTTCCTGTCCAGGAAGAAGCAGGCCTAGGGTCCACACAAAGCCATGCTGTGCAGCAGTTAATGGTGCAGCCTCTGGAGCCAGATAATTTGGCTCCCTTGCCTCCCTGAGCCTCAGATTCATCTCTGAAATAAGGATAATAATAGCACATAAGCAATGGAGTTGAGTGCTGAATACTTAAGGACAAGTAACGAACTCAAGATAGTATTTGGCAATTGTAAGACTTGATAAGCCAGGTGTAGTGGCGCATGCCTGTAATCCCAGTGACTCAGGAGGCAGAGACAGGAGGATTGTAAATTCAAGGCCAACATCAGCAATTTAGCAAGGTCCTGTAATCAAAATAAAAGGGTTGGGGATGTAGCTCAGTAGTTCAATTCCCAGTACCAAAATAAATAAATCAATTCAGGAATAAAATAAAAATAAAAGATTCTCCATAAACATTGACTACTGTTGGCTGTATATGCCTCTAGGCTTAAGTCCTATCACATGATATGCACCCCATAAAAATACTCTTAGACAGGCAAAAACCAGATAAGGCAACCTCAATAATTAAAGGTATCACCAAAGGTTAACGTCAACCTCTGGAACCCCAAGGAAGGTTTCTGGGATGCTTGAACCTGGATAGATCACGAATCTTTTGTGTTTTCAGTACCAGCTGACCCCTATCTCCGGCCCCCCGTACAGTGGTCTCCCTGAATTGTTTACCCTCAATGATTCCAGGGGCTCAGATCCATTTCAGTGGAACCTTACCAAATCAAGTTCTGTGCTGATTCTTTGCCTTACTGACCTCCATTCCAAAAGCCCCTTGCAACAGCCTGGAATGGGACTGCTCAGAGGCCACCGAAGCCTCAGAGGGTGAGCTATCTCCATTCCCCCACAGGAAGGAAGGCAGCTGAAGGAGGAGAAGCCCCAATTTGAAGCCGTGGTGTCCCAGAGGCTGGACACACTGCACCGGCTCTGGGATGAGCTGCAAGCCACCACCAAGGAGAAGACCCTACAACTCTCTGCCGCCAGGAGCTCCGACCTGCGCTTGCAGACCCACGCCGACCTCAACAAATGGATCAGCGCCATGGAGGACCAGCTTCGGTCGGATGACCCGGGCAAGGACCTGACCAGCGTCAACCGGATGTTGGCTAAGTTGAAGGCACGTGAGCAGGCTGTAGACTCAAACTGTTAGACAACGAAAGATCTTGGGGAGGAAACCTGAAACCATAAAGCAAGTGCCTTTGTTCCTCCTGGTGGACTTGCTTTTATCATGTGAAAATGTCTTATGATTCACAATCCATCCCCTAACCCCTTTGGCAGTACGCTCCAATAAAAGGATGCATAAGAAATATGGGGCAGGTACTCAGAGGAGGGAAGGATGAGTGAGGGCAGCCAGGGAGACTTCTTGGAGGAGGCTGAGCTCAAGCTGGGGCTAACAGGATAGGCGGGGGATAGATGGGTGGAGAGCCAGGAGGGACTGCCCAGGTGCTGAGGCCAGTGCTGTGCTATCCCATTGTGTCTCAGAGAGTGGAGGACCAGGTGAATGTGCGGAAGGAGGAGCTGCAGGAGCTGTTTGGCCAGGCACCCTCACTGGGAGAAGAGGCGGGAGACGCTGACCTGAGCATCGAGAAGAGATTCCTGGACCTCCTGGAACCTCTGGGGAAGAGGAGGAAGCAGCTGGAATTATCCAAAGCCAAGCTGCAGATCAGCCGCGACTTAGAGGATGAGACGGTGCGTGGGCTGCAGCCTCTCCACCCCCCAGGGCTGAGCCGCCAGCTGCTACCAGGAGTAGCTGGCCACTGCCCACAGCAGTTCTTGGCAGCAGATGACTGCTCATCTCACCCACTTATTTCATAGGGTTGCTGTGATGATTGCATTAATTTGGGAAGCCAAGCCAAGCCAGTGCTTTTTGGATGGTAACTCATTAGTCCCTGGCTGATTTTGATGGTGATGAGCCTGGGATTTAGGTTCAGACAGCCTTGGGTTCAAGATCCAGCCTATGGCTTGCTCACAGTCTGGCCAGGAACAAGTTCTTTGGAACCTCAGTTCAAAATATCAGAACATCCCCATCTATAAAATAGTGGGTGGGGGACCCTAATGGGTGTTGGGAGGAACCAGGGAGACTGCTGACAATGCACTCTCAGGCCCTTGATGGTTACTTGGGAGAAAGTGGCTGTGTTTGTCATCAGCTATCCCCCCGCCTTTTGTCTCTGCAGCTTTGGGTGGAGGAGAGGCTGCCACTGGCCCAGTCAGCCGACTATGGCACTAACCTGCAAACAGTGCAGCTGTTCATGAAGAAGAACCAGGTAAGTCCTGTCTCACCTGGTCAGTGCACCTGCCTCTCCCTGCCCCTACCTGGTTGGGGTATAGCCCAACCCTGATCTGCAGAAGGTCAGCCATAGCAGATTATTGCTCCTGTTAGGGACTTGGGGATCCGTAAACTGTATTTGAAGTCTCACCGCAAAAAGAGCAGAGAGAACTCTGGGAGGATCCCAGAAGAAGGAGAAATCATGATACTTGGGGATTTGGGGCCATTCAGTCTCCATCAGGCTCGGATGGGTCCAGGACCCTGGAGCCCCTGGCCTGGATTTAATGTGTTTTCACAGTCCTGAATTCAGTGGCTTCCCCAAGAGAAGCTGATAACTCCTGGGTTTTCTGCCCTAACACTGCCTTGTTCTCTTTGAGGGCTGAGCTTGGAAAGTGTGCTGTCATCAAGGTACATAGGCCCCACTTCTCCAGTGGGCTCAAACCCCATGAGAAAGCTGCTGAACTTGGACTTAGAGTCCTAGAAGCAAACATCCAACTGCTGTTCAGCTCTCTTAGGCCAGACTGGGCCCTGGTCACAATTCTGGACATAGCAGATGCCAAATACTTCCTCTGTGTCAGAGCAGCAGAGGGAACCTGAATCTTCAAGGAAGCCAGCTGGGTGGGGTCACAGTGGCTTCATGTCTGGTCAGGAGCTGGCCTCAGTCCCTTCTCTTGGGCAGAGAGTCCCTTTTCCTGCCTGGTCAGCTCTCTGGATCAACAAGGAGAGCCCAGGAACTTAGATCCCAGAAAAGAGCAATGTGTCCCAGAGTGTCACGTCAGTACTGCAACTCCTTGGGGAAGGAAGGTCATGGCACGGCAAGCACTCCCGTCCTCCCAAATAACTGCAGCTGCCATCTGCTCCCAGACCACTGGAGCCCAGCAACTGTGCAAAGGCATGAACTATATTCAGAGAGGTTTCTCCAAAGCTCCCCAGGAACCTTTGTTTCCAGTTGACATGATCTAATCACCAAGGCTCCAGTGGCCACACGCAAGGACTTGCACTAGGGGATGGTAGAGATTCAGGCTCAGTTGATGCCACAGCCTTCAGTTATAGGAGGAAGGCTGACGGGAGAAAGTGTCCCCGGGACCTCAGTTTCTTCAGTTGTGCAATGAGCCACCTCTAGTCTTTCCAGCACCGAAGACTTTTGAGTCTGTTGAGCCTCAGTAAGTATTAGCACCTAGAGGTTTCCACTCCCCTGGCCGGCAGCTGCTATTTCAGGAAAAGGGCAAGACAAATACAGATGGGGTTGCTCTAACCAAGAAAGAAAGGAAGCTCTTCAGAGAGTGTGGCTGCCCTAGTAAAGACTATTTGGGTCTAGGCTGCTAAAGTACAAGCCCTTGTAACCCTTCCTCCCTGAAAACCCTCCATGGAAGGGGCTCTGACTTCAGTGCCCGTTGGCCTGGGGGGCTTGTTCAACACAGTTGCTAGGCTTTACTGGGTGGTGGTGGGGGAGCCCAATGATTTGCATTTCTAGCTAGGCTCCAGATGCAGCGAGCTGGAGCCCCCACTTTGAGAACCACTGTTCTAGCAGCTGTCCGTTATAGCCAGAACACATCCTGCAAGGTGGCTGCACATTAAAAATCACTTGGGGAACTTTTAAACATACAAATGCCAGGTCTCACCCCAGATTCATTGATTAGTATCTCTGTGAGTGAGGCCCCGGCTGCACCTGTTTTCCTGGAGTATTGAATGTGCCGCCAGGGTTAAGAGCCGTCGCCTCACCTGGTCTAGTTTCTGCCTACCTCTAAATCACATCACTTGTCCCATTCAGCCCCCTTCACTAGCTCTTCTCTTCCAGCCCTTGTAGCATCACACAGTCCAGGCTCCTTTCCACCCCAGGGCCTTTGCATGGACTCATATCTTGTGCTGGGAACACTCACCCCAAACCTTTGGTTGCCTCCCTCTCACTGTTCATGGCTCCCTCCAAGGTCTTCTCCTCAGAAGGCTCTTCCTGACTCTCCTAGCCAAAGGAGCCACCACCACAGCCTGGCAGCCCTTCTTCATTCCACTGTGTATTTTCCCCGTAGCACCAAGGGAAGATGGCCCAGACTCCATTTATTTCCATGCTCACATCTGTTTCCTCTGTGAGACTAGGAACTTTAAGAGGGCACAGGTCTTCTTCTTCTCTCCATTTAGTCCCTAGTCCCTAGAACAGGATCTGGTATGTACATAATACCTTAATAAATTGTGGAATGAATGAAAACAGGGAGAAAGACATCATAGATACGTACCCCAGAAAGACTAGAGGGCAATTGCTTAAAAAGAGATAGAAATACCTTTTTAAGGCACCAGGCAGAGGTCATAAGACCTCAGAGAAAGTAAAGAGGCCGACTAGAGCTGGCAACACGGGCTATTTATATACAATTGCACAGCCCACAGAAAATCCTCAAAAATTAAGATTTTGAATATAAAGTACAAAAACGTATTTCACCAGGTTAGATACTTTGTGGATCTTACTATTCTAGCATTTTTCTTTTCTTCTTTTTTTGCATTTTTTCTTTTTTAAATATTTTTTTAGTTATAGATGGACATGATAACTTTATTTTTATACTGATAAATAAAAATAATAATATTGACAAATGAAAATGGGGAAATGGTGCTGAGGATTGAACTCAGGGCCTCACACGTGCTAGGTAAGTGCTCCACCACTGAGCCACAACCCAAAACCCCATAGTTTAACATTTTTCTTTTTCTTTTTTTTTGTACTGGTAATTGAACCCAGGGGTGCTTTATCACTGAGCTATATCCCCAGCAACCCCCACACTTTAAAAAAAATTATTTTGAGACAGAGTATCACTAAGTTACGGATGCAGGTCTAAACTTGCGATTCTCCTGACTCAGCCTCCCAGGCTACTGGGATTACAGGTGTGCATCACTGAGCCCAGTTTCATAAATATTTAAAGTGCTGGCAGTCACCGTTCTACCTCTGTGGACTCTTGCCTCTGCCTTCTAGATGGATTTTAAAGGCATGGGGAAATGGCCTTTAAAAGAGAGAGAAGAAACAAGGTGTAAAGAGGCCAAGAATCATATGAGAAGCAGCTAGTGTGACTTCAAGGACCCAGAAAGGATCCTGTATGTGTGTCCGGGCCTCCTGAAGGCAAAGGTGACCCAGTCATCAGAGGCAGAGGAAAAGGCCATTTTGGTAACCAAAGGCTCAGAAAGGAAATAATACACGATTCACAAAGGATTGATAAGTAAAAATAGGGAAAAACAAAACCAAACCCCAGACTCTACACAGGGACAGCCACCAACTGTCCTTGTATCTGGAGCAAAAGCTGCTAAAAGAAGATGTCAGGTGGCCATTCCAAGATTGCTTTCCTTCCCTCCAGTGTGTACACCTAAGAGATCAAGCTCTGTTGAGCAGAGGCAGGGTATGGAGCAGTCGAGAGCCCAGGCTTTGGAATTGGGTGGGGCTCTGTTCCCTCCTGGCTCTGCCACCGGCTGCCAGCAAGTTCCTTCATTGCCATGTGCCAGTTCCCAAATGCTACTCTCAGAAAGCTATGAGGGTCGAAGGAGGAGGCACAGGTGTGTTTGACGTCCTGCTGGCAGGTGGTCACGGGCAGCTTTATTATCATCACCTGCTCTGCTTTAGCAGGTGGTGGAGAGAGGCCCACAGTGCCCTGGTCCTGCAGAAATGGGCTCCCATACCTGGTGGGAGGACTCTGCCCCTGAATCCCTCCTTATGGTCACAGACACTGCAGAACGAGATCCTGGGCCACGCGCCGCGGGTGGAGGACGTGCTGCAGCGGGGACGGCAGCTCGTGGAGACAGCGGAGATGGACCTCCAGGACATCGAGGAACGCCTGGGGCACCTGCAAGACTCGTGGGCGGCGCTGCGGGAGGCGGCGGCTGGGCGGCTGCAGCGCCTGCGGGATGCCCACGAGGCGCAGCAGTACTACCTGGACGCCGGGGAGGCCGAGGCCTGGATCAGCGAGCAGGAGCTCTACGTCTTCTCTGATGAGCCCCCCAAGGTCTTCTGGGCCAGGGGCTGCCTGCTGGGGTGCCCAGATGGACAGGAGCGCTGGAGTGGGCAGTGAGCGGGGTGGAAAGAGTGGGGAGGCGGTGTACAGGGGACCCAGGCAATCTCCCTGCCTGTGGAGAGGGCTGGGCGAAGGGAAGGGTCTCTCAAAGCTGGGTTGAGTTAGGAAGTTTTCATGGGGACAGCAGCTTGGCAGTGGGCCTGTGAGGAAGGGCACGGAGCAGGCGACAGCAGGTGAGCCAGAAAGGCAAAAGGTGGGCAGGAGGGGCAGGCACATGGCTCTCTCCTCACTCGGCACCTCCAAACTCTGTGGCGCTGACCTCTGCTGCCTCCTAGGATGAAGAGGGTGCCATCGTGATGCTCAAGCGGCACTTGAGGCAGCAGCGCACCGTGGAGGAGTATGGAAGGAACATGAAGCAGCTGGCCGGCCGGGCCCAGAGCCTGCTGTCCGCGGGACACCCCGAGGGGTGCGTGTGTCTCCTGAAGTGACTCGGCAGGTCATGGGCATCAGGCCAGGAGCCCCACCAGCCAAAATCCCTCCAGGTCCAAGAAAGGAAAATCGGAACAGTGTTCCCAAATATAGAAGTTTCTGGACTGTGGATTGGCCCAGTCCCATGTTATGCTTTGGTCTTGCGGGAGGGACTCCAATGTGGGCCACCTGAGGCCTGGTTTGCAAAAAAAAAAAAAAAAATCAGAGAATGGAATAGCAAAACTATGCGTTGGTTGAACTTAAAGCTGCAGTCTTTTGAAGAATTAGAATATGCTGTGAGATACTGAAGACTAATTTTGCTTTTCTTTTTGTGGTTCAGAAGGTACTTCCAGACCTCATAAAATCTTCAGCAGAATCCTATGTCAAAGCAAAAGTAGAAAATTACACCTGTCAGAACTGTTGAGTTGCAGGGATTCTGCATAAATTAGAACCCACTGACCAGATTCCTCAGGCTGCCCTAGTTATAGCCCTGTCCTCTGCTGCCTTTAGGGCATCCTCCACTGTATCCTCGCAGCCACACAGCTCCCAGGGAACCCCAAGGACCGAGCCCCTGAAGAGCTAGGCAGGGGAACTGCTGCCAGAGCCCTCTCAGCACTGTCCCATCGGCCTCCTGTGTACCTGAGAGCTTCCCAGAGGGAGGGCTACAGCAGCAAGTGTCACACCAGGACAGAACTCCATGACAGAGTCCTGCCCTCCCCTGAGGCACTGTGGCCAAACGGGTCATTCCTTCTCTCACCAACTCTTCCCCAAGAAAAACCACTATCACTTCCCTTAAGCTTCACTCCCCACCAGTCTGTGCTAGGGATCTAGGGAGGCGTAGGTCAGCTCCTCTGAGTCAGCTGCTCTGGGTTCTTGCTGGCCATCTTTAAGGGATTTCTTGGATTGAATTCCAGGGAACAGATAATCAGACTTCAGGGGCAAGTGGATAAGCAGTATGCAGGGCTGAAGGACATGGCAGAGGAACGCAGGCGGAAGCTGGAGAACATGTACCATCTGTTCCAGCTGAAGAGAGAGGCTGACGACCTGGAACAGTGGATTACAGAAAAGGAGATGGTGGCCTCGTCCCAAGAAATGGGGCAAGACTTTGACCACGTGACTGTGAGTACCACAGCTCCTGCCTTCTCTGCAGTAGACACAGCCAGCCATGGTTCCAGACCCTCACGGTGCTCCTACCACTGCAGGGCATCACAAAGGGATTCAGTCACACTAGGGTGAAGTGTGGCCAGCGGGCTCAGGCCGCCCTGGGGAAAAACTGAGAGTCAGGGTCAGATGGTCACAGTGGCCACCTAGCAGCATCTGCAGCTGAGAGCATGATGACACCCGTCTGCCCCTGAGCCCCACTAACCCCATTTCTGTCTGCCCCATGTTTAGATGCTTCGGGACAAATTCCGAGACTTTGCCCGGGAGACTGGGGCCATCGGGCAGGAGCGGGTGGACAATGTGAATGCCATCATTGAGCGACTCATCGATGCAGGCCACAGCGAGGCGGCCACCATCGCCGAGTGGAAGGACGGGCTGAATGACATGTGGGCAGACCTGCTGGAGCTCATCGATACCCGCATGCAGCTGCTGGCGGCCTCCTATGACCTGCACCGCTACTTCTACACAGGGGTGGAGATCCTGGGCCTCATCGACGAGAAGCACCGCGAGCTGCCTGAGGATGTGGGGTTGGACGCCAGCACTGCTGAGTCCTTCCACCGGGTGCACACGGCCTTCGAGCGGGAGCTCCACTTGCTGGGAGTGCAGGTACCCACAAGTGCCATCACCCACCTGGCTCCTGGAGGGGAACCTTCTAGAATGGGCACCTGGTGATTTCTCTTCCTTAGAGAACTAACAGCTCAGAACAGGGAGTAGTGGCTTTCAGATGCTCTTTAACTTCAGAAGTACTTTAAACTGAATTCTCACAAAAAAACCAATGCATAAAATACCTTATGCAATATTATTAGCTAATGCATAGTGCTCTTCTAGCACTGTTCTAAGCGATATATGCAGCACTGGATCCTCATAGCCCCCCTCTGAGGTACTAACACTGTCTGCATTTTGTAGAAGAGGAAAGCAAGGTGCAGAGAGCCAGTTAGTGGCCTGGGAACGTGCAGATACCCAGTGGAGCCAGGACTGAGGCTTTGGTGCTCTGGCCATGGGCCCTACATACATAGTCCCCAGGCAGGCCAATCTTTCCCGTGGGAGGTGGGGCATTCCCAAGATCTGCTTTCTCAACACTCTTAATCACTGGGATATTTGCTGAGGCACCTCTGCAGATCCCTAGGGTTTCCCCAGAGCTTGGTGTGATAGAACAAGACAAAGGTGAGAGGCCCCAGCTGCCAAAGGTTCCCCAGGCCTCCACTGGCTATGCAGTCCCAGGCCAGCCCAGTGGGGTTCAGGGATGACACCAAGGTAGGTCGGGCTGGGCCCCTGGTTCACCTGGAAGTAGACCTTTCAGAGATTTATCTGACAGAGAAGGTGGGACCTGGTGTGCAGCCATTGTGCTTGGTGGTACCAGAATCCCTGAGACAGGAGTAGCCACACTGAGGTCTCAGGAATGAGAATTTGTTGTCCCTGAGAATCTGATGCAGCTCCTTCCTGAAGATGTGGTGGTGGTTAAGAACAGGGGCCCAGGAGCACAGCTCTAACCCAGCTGTCCCTTTGACCAGGTAGTATGAGGGAACTTGGGCCATTTACTTGGCCTTGCTATGCCTTAGTTTCCTCATCTCAAAAGCAGGGATAATGAAATTCCCTTTCCATGGGATTGTTGCAAGGATGCAAAGTTAACATAAACTGTCTAGAATGGTGCCTGGTTCACACTTGCTCTCGTTATAGTACCTGTAAGGAGATCAAAGGGTATTGAGTTGCTGTCACTCCCAAATACTCATCAAATTCCTTGGATAGACAGAGGCGCCCAAGCAGGGATCCTTCTACAGCATCTGCTGGGCAGGGGATGGAGCCTTCCTATGGTGCTCTGGGGAGGAGACAAGAGACAGATGTCCTTCCAGTGCCAGGCCTGAGATGCCTCTGTTCAAGGAACAATGTCTGGTTTTGCCTGACCACAGGTACAGCAGTTCCAGGATGTGGCTACCCGCCTGCAGACAGCATACGCCGGGGAAAAGGCAGACGCCATCCAGAGCAAGGAACAGGAGGTATCTGCCGCTTGGCAGGCATTGCTCGATGCCTGTGCTGGGCGCCGGACTCAACTCGTGGACACGGCAGACAAGTTCCGCTTCTTCAGCATGGTCCGGGATCTGCTTTCCTGGATGGAGGGTATCATCCGGCAGATCGATACCCAGGAGAGGCCCAGGTAAGGGGGCATCCTCCATGATAGGTGAGGCTGGCAGACAAGGGTGCTGCCCAGGGCTCCTCCTCTCCTAAGGGGCACCTGAGGTGAATTCCTCAGTGGCTCAGGTTCTGGGAGCACTGACCATTTCAGAGTAAAGGGAGAAATTCAGCCTGTCCAGCAGGGACAGTGACCACTGTCAACTCACACTTTCAAAGCTGGACAGGTCCAAGACAGGTCCATGGGACCTTCCCCAGGTTCCAGCATATGGGGCCGTTCTCCTAAAACTCAGGATGGAGCTGATTATCCCTGAAAGGTGGGGTCAGGCTCCTGAGCAGTGAGCACCAGTGAGCTCTGAGCTCTCCGCCCAGTTAGTGTCCATTTAGTAATTATTGACAACTCTCTGTCCCTCTGCCTACAAGACACCCACCTCAGTGACCATACTGTTATCTTTAACATTTTTATTGAGATATAATTCACACACTATACTTAATCCATTTAAAGTTTTCCATTCAGTGGTATTTATCTATTCCTAGTTTGTTTTGTTTTTGTTACCAGGGATTGAACCCAGGGGTGCTTAACCATTGAGCCACATCTCTAGCCCTTTTTAAAATATATTTTATTTAGAGATAGGATGTTGCTAAATTGCTTAGGGCTTCCCTAAGCTGCTGAGACTGGCTTTGAACTCGAGATCTTCCTGCCTCAGCTTCCTGAGCTGCTGAGATTTTAGGTGTGCGTCACTGCGCTCAGCTATATATTCCTAGTTACACAACTATCAACTACAATCCAGATTTAGGAGATTTTCATCACCCCCCACCACCAAATAAGCTCATCCCCATTAGTAGCCACTCACTTTGCTTCTTGCCCCAGATCCCTGGCAGCCACCACTTTCTATCTCCTTAGATTTGCCCATTCTGAACATTTTTCATAGAAATGGAATCACATAATATATTGTCTTTTGTGAATGGCTTCTTTCACTTAGTCTGTTTACAAGATTCATTCTTATTGTACCATGAAGCAGTACCTCATTCCTTTAAAAAAAAATTGATGATGAATACAATACCTTTATTTTATTTCTTTTTCTGTGGTGCTGAGGATCCAACCCAGGGCCTCACACATGCTAGGCAAGTGCTCTACCACTGAGCCACACCTCATTCCTTTCTATTGTTGAATAGTATCCCCTGGCTGCTTCTGGGGACCCATGCCCTGACCACTAGCCACAGGAAGGCATTAGGACATCAGTGTTCCTGGTGGGGCTGGACTTCCTGGCTGAGCAGAGAGACAGGAGGGAGCTGGCCAGACTCCCTGGAGCAAGTGAGAGGCAGCCCCCCCCACTGCCAGAGTGACCCAGAGTTTCTTTCTTCCCCAACTGCCTCCCTGGCCCTGTCCTGCCCCCAGGGATGTGTCCTCCGTGGAACTACTCTTGAAGTATCACCAGGGCATCAAGTCAGAGATCAACACCCGGGCCAAGAACTTCAGCACCTGCCTGGAGCTCGGGGAGTCCCTGCTACAGCGGCAACACCAGGCTTCAGAGGAGGTGAGCCCCTTCGTGTCCTTGTCCCCACTATTACTGGCCAGGCAGCTTCTTGGTAGGGCAGTGGGGGAACTTCTGAGGAACTTATCTTTCACTTATGGAGCATCAGGTCTGCCTGTGGGTCAGGAATCAGAGCCACACCTAGCCTATTCTCCATCTTAAGGAGTTGGCCTCTCACTAGAGGAGAGCAGGCTCACCATCTACCCATCACCCATAGGTGCGCATGCTTAGAAGTCGATGACCCCATCTCACAGGCGAGGCATATTTAGGTATCTCAGTGAGGTTAAGTAACTTGCACAGCTGACAAGTAGCAAGGCCAAGACTTGAAGCCAGGCCTGTGTGATCAAGCCTGACATTCTCTGCGGCCATCTGTGCACTGCTTCAGAGAGAGGGAAGGGTTACCAAAGCCCGTGCTTTTCTCCTTTCCTCTCTACAGATCCGGGAAAAACTGAAGCAGGTATTGATCAGGAGGCAGGAGATGAATGATAAATGGGTGACCCGAGATGATCGGCTCCACATGCGTGAGTGAAATGCAGGGCCTGGGACCTGGGGGCAGGGCCTCACCCCTACTGGAGCAGAGGAAGGGAGGGTGATGCTGTAATAGGGTGGCTTCGGGCTTCTGGTGACAGGGGACCAGGCAGGAAAATCAAGCAGACTTGCTCTGGAAGCCTCCCTCCAGCAACCAGGTGCCCCACTCCCAGTCTACCCCGTGCTGGGCTGCTGTGTCTGCTGAGCTGAGGCTGGGGAGGTGCAGGGCGGCGCTCCCCTGTGCGTTGGGTATTTGCTCTAAGGAGCATCAGTCAGGGACTCCTTCCTCCAGTGGCTGGAGGCTGAGGAGAGGTGCAGAAACTCTCACCTCTCGGGTAGGAGCTGAGAGCCAAAAAGGCCTGGTCTGGTCGGCGTGGCTCTTCATCCACAATGATGAGAGACAAAGGCCAGCAAGAGAATTAGGGCAGAAGACTGTTCCTCAAAGAGAGGCATCTAAACTGCATTTGGCTTCCAAAACAGTTTGTTTCAATTAATGTGTTTTAAAAATATGGCTATTAGGCTGGGTGCGGTGGTGCACCCCTATAATCCCCGCAGCTCAGGAGGCTGAGGTAGGAGGATCACAAGTTCAAAGCCAGCCTTAGCAACTTAGCAAGGTTCTAAGCAACTCAGTGAGACCCTATTTCTAAATAAAATACAAAATAGGGGATGTAGCTCAATGGTTGAGTGCCCCTGAGTTCAATCCCCGTATATATATGTATTTATATTTGTCGATGGAGACGGGGTAGGACCCCAGAGTGAGCATGGAGTGGTCTTGAGCAGGATTCAGAACTGAGCAAGATATTCAGGAGTTTAGGGACCCCTGTGGCCCTTGTACCTGGCCACTGGCCACCTAGGTCCCTGCAGGAATGGACTGTTGAATGCTAACAGGCCCCCGGCCTTGCGGGTGGGTCTTTGGCTTGTTCTCGTGGCAGTGCTGGAGGTGTGCCAGTTCTCGAGGGATGCCTCTGTGGCCGAAGCATGGCTCATTGCCCAGGAGCCCTACCTGGCCAGCCGGGACTTTGGCCACACTGTGGACAGCGTAGAGAAGCTGATCAAGAGGCATGAGGCTTTTGAGAAGTCCACAGCCACCTGGGCAGAGCGCTTTGCTGCTCTGGAGAAGCCCACCACGGTGAGCTGGGACAGGCTGGAAGGCTGGGGAGGGCAGCAGCCTTGCCTTGTGGGCGGGGGTGTCCCAGAACTCTGGCCAAGTGTCAGGTGTAAGAGTGGGGGCGGGTGGAGAGGAAAGCTGGGCAGCAGACCGTACTCACCTTTGAATGCCAGAGATGAAAAGGGGCGTCTGGGACAGAGAGGGGCAAACCCCAGGGTGTGCTGGGGCGCAGGGCCCTGACTAGAGAGAGGTCACCTGAGAACCCAGCTCTGCTTGTGGCTACTCTGATCTTCCCCCTTTCCTTCCCCAGCTTGAGCTTAAAGAACGCCAGACCCCAGACAGACCTGCAGAGGAGCCCGGGTGAGTGGTGGCTGTGTGTCTGAGGAGCAGCGCTCTGTGAGAGGGGTGGGTGGGAAGGAGGAGGAGGAGTTTTTGATGGCAGCTGGGCATCTGAACCAGACACGCTTGACCCCGCGATCCTGGGCACCTTGTCAGTGAAACCCAGAGTGCATGGAGCTTGAAGCCACAATGTTCTGCTGCCCTCATCACAGGTGACCCAAAGCCCTGCACAGGAAGGAAGGGGAGGCCAGCAGTGGCTGCCACTGAGATAGGGCTTTCCCTCAGGGAGCCAGCCCCCCAACATCGCCCCCAGGGCTGTCTAACGTGGAACTTGTCCATTTCTGAAGCATGTGCTTCACTTTTCCTATCTATCAAGCCTCTGGGTGACTCTTTTCTGAGCACCTGGGGCTGATGGAAGTCTGGTGGGATGATGAGTGGCACACATGCCACATGTGCGCAGAGCGGACCGAAGCCAGGCCTCGGGGGGAGGCGCCGGCCTCAGTGAGGTACCTGTCATTAAAGAGAAGCTGTGTCTTCCTTAGGCCTCAAGAGGAGGAAGGCGAGACAGCAGGGGAGGCTCCCCGAGTCCCCCACCGTGCGGCGACTGAGAGAACATCCCCGGTCAGTTTCATGTCCCATTTGTCTAGTTCCTGGGAGTCGTTGCTGCCAGAGCCTCCTCATCCCTACTAGGCTCCTCCAGGGCAGAGGGCGAGAATGGGGCATGTGCCACTCTGCTCCCCAGGCCCTCCTCCTGCCCCTGTGTCCCCAGAAGCCTCATTCCCATCAAGTCTACTTTTACACTTAGGTTTTCTTAATTCTTAGAGTAATTCCCCTCCTCCCAACCCAGAGGAAACTGACAGCCAGCCACTGACATGACTCTATTAGTTTGGTTTTATCTAATATAATAAATTTTATTACATAAACTTATCACCATCTACATCTGGAGAAGCACTTTATACAGGGAGGATTCACTTTGTACACTTTCCTTTTTCCCATTCTCCTGACTCCATACAACAAACACACACACACACACACACACACACACATACACACACACACACACCTGAGACATGAACCAGTAGACATCCCGTTCTGCCTGCTCACCCCACCCCCCGCAGGCATTTGGGCAATGAAGTGGGGAGACCCACCCTTCCAGCAGATTCCTCCCTCTCATGCAGAGCTCTCTCCCTCTTTCTACTGACCTGGACCAGTGAGTTTGGATGTGGAGCTGGTTCTGAGGCAGATAGACTAGAAGGGTCCTGCAGGAGTGAGGGAGAATCCCAGGGCTTTGGGTATCAGGGGGACTAGCCCCAAAATTTGTAGAAAAGGAGGGTGTGATGGAGGCCTGGCTGGGGGAGGGGCTGGAAGGGCCCAACAGGGCCACTTTGGGGAGCAATGGGCTGAGAAGAGAGCAACAATCAGCATGAAACTTGCATGGCTTTTCTACTGTGTCGAGCTCTCATGGCATGTGGCTCTGGGGGTCAAGGGAGCAACAGATCCTTCAAGTGCCCAGGTGAGCTCGCCTGATTTCTGAGTGGGGACTAAGAAAGATTAGTATTCTTGGTGAAAATTTCTGGTACATGAACCACCCCAGAAGAATACACATACAACTTGTCGAACAAGCACAAGGACCTAGAAGGAGGTGGGGAGAAGAAAAAAAGAAAAGAAAAATACATATAGTAATTCCTCCCTATGCAGAATCTCTGTTAGGCTCGGATCTGAGGACCCTGCCTCCCCCAATCTCTCTCACTCACTAACACACACAAACACACACATTTCCCTCTGCCTCCCTTCTAAGCTGTACCAGCCCATCATGCCCAGCAGAGGGCACTGCTGGGCTCTGCTGGAGGGCCTCTCTCGGGAGTCCCCTCTGAAGTGCCCAACGTCTCTGTGGCCGACCATGTTCCAGCCCCTTTTCCTAGCACCAGCCCCCATCGGAGGGAGAGAAAACTCTGGGGGCTGAAGTGGACTGTGGACACAGGCTGGGACTGTCCCTGCCTCCTGCTCCCACCTGCGCTTCTGCCCTGCATCCCTGTGTGTCTGCATGCCATGGTGTCCTGGTGTGCGGGCTCCTTCGTGACCACCTGAGCAATTCCACCATTGTCTGTGTCATATATGTTTGTGCAAATATAATTACATGTGCATCAGAGCCTTCTCCATCCAGCACCTGAATGTCACTGGGTTGGGGGGAATAAAACTTGCTTGGACCTGAGTGTCTCTTTGGGGGAAGATGAGTGAGCCCACATCTGAGACCCTTCCTGGAGAGCCAGCCACTCTGCCAGATGGGAAAACTGGCCCTTGCCTGGTTCCAGAAAGAAACCAGACGGTGAATCAAATGAACACAAGGCCAGAGGCCTCCTGGAAACCGATTTCCTGCTGCTTCTCCTTTCTGAGCATCTAAGTTTTCATGAGGATCCACAAAACACAGAGGGAAGGGCTAACGCCCAGTCTGTCAGTCTCTGGCATGAGAGAGACAGGAGGATGGAGAACCACCAATCCAGCCTCGCAAGGCTCCTCACAAAGCCAGCTGCTGACTCCTCCAGCCTCCCCCGTTCCTGCCCTTTACAGAACCTCTGGCCCATCCCAGGAAGGTTCGGCTTCCTCTCTGGGACAGGCCTGGGGTCCAGTGGCTCTCCTGCTGGTCTTGTGTGTGCAGTGTGGCGTTGGTGCCCTCTAGAGTAGATACGTGTTGCTTCATGTAAAACCCCTTACTAGTGCATGTCGCTTCCTGCTGGGGGGCGGCTGGGAATGGCCCAGGCACCCTTGCCCTGTCCAGACAGGCACATACTCCAGTCCACCTCTTCCCCGGGGGTGCATGCGCACACATGTGTACACGCAGTGTCTGAGCTGCCATCCCATCACTGCAGTAACGCTGGCTCCCCTCACCTCTGGCCTCTCCACGTTAGTGCACGTGCTGGGTAAAAGCAACCCCTTCCTACAGGTAAGCGTGTGCAAGGCCACACAGAAGCAACACTAACCAAAGACAAAACCTACGACGGAGAGCACATCAGGGCATCTGGGTTCTGCTGGAAACTTGCCCCTGGTTTTAGATAATGACCCTGAGTCTCTTGCCCTTATAAAGGCCTCTCTGTGGGATTACAGAAAGTCCAGAATGTTCCTTTATGACAGCATTGTAGCAATTCAAGGGAGGGGCTGGGGAGGTGGTTTGCCACGTTCCTGTGGTCTCGTTCTTAGCTCTAAGGTACCTGGTTCGTTTATCAGGCACCAGCCAGTGCCAGGCCGGGACCGGGAAGAAGAGCTAAAGGGCCAAGGTGTTTGTCTTTTCTCCTGTTTGGGGAAGAGAGACCAGGTCAGACCTTTGCTGCTGCCAAGGACAGAGCCCTGAAGGGGACCTGCTGGCTTTTCTGTGCCTGTGGCAGCAGTGAGCAGGCAGATCTGCCTGGGCCTGGTGCATGAGAGCCTCTGGCCAGGGTCACCTCACCCCACACCCTCTGCCCGTGCAAACCCCCTTCACCTGGGTATATGGCCCTGAATAGGGCTGGAGTGTCCCTCAACTTCCAGGCTCCAGATGCCTCAGACTCCCCAATGTAGCATTGGTGGTGACATGTTCTTTTCTCCTGGGAGGAAAAGAGACCATTTCCATGGTGTTGGAGAGAATAGGAGTGCCCCTAGACTAAAGGGTCCCCAAGCCCCAGGACATAGTCCTACACACTGCCTCTCTCCTGGCTTGGGGGTGGAAAGAAGGACCTGCTCTAGGAATTCACCTTCCAGCGCTGTGAAAATGTACCATCCTTCACAGGGATGGGTGCTCCCAAGGGCTGTGACAAGAAAGGATTTCCTTCATTGTTTGGGGACAAAGATACCCTGACTGTCCCCAAGCTTCTGGGATAGTCGGGTCTGCACTGGAGGGGAAATCCTGAGACATAAGACCACTGCAAAGAGCAGCTGCCCGAGTGCCCTTCACGATCAAACTTCAGGAAGTTGTCAAGGAAAACTGACCCAAGGGCAGCTCACAGATGTCACTCTTGCAAGTGGCCTTCCAAGACTGCACAGTGGGCCTCCCTGAAGAGGGGCAGTGAGCATCCTGTCAGGGCTGAACACAGAGTCAGGATTCCTGCGTCCCTTGTCTCCCTTCCATGGTCTCTTTGGGAAAGTAGCCGCCCTTGTGAAGGTGTGGGGCAGCGTTGCAGGGCCTAGCTGGCCCCAGCTTCCATCACCCTCTTAGCAACCTGTGAAACTCCCCCAGCAGCAGCCTCCCCTCAGCTCTGACGCCCTTGGGTGGAAGCCATGTGGGTGTGGAGACAGCGGCTGTGTTTCTTGCCCGAACAAGCTTCCCCAGGCTTTCCCTCCTCCCCCTTAAGAGCAGTTTTTTCAGACATTTTGCAGTGAATGCAAATCCTATGTTTGTTGGAAATCGGCAGGCCCAGCCTGGAAAGAAGGTCAACTTGCCCCCAAACCTGGGCGTGGCCCTGTCTCCCCAGGATGCCTGAGTCAGCATGGCAGGGGTGTGTCTGCCTGCAGCCTGGCGTGGCTCCCTGAACATCTGCCCACTGCTGGCTGTGCCCAGCTCTCTGCTATGGTCAGACGCCCTCTTCCTGGCCCCTCTGCTTAAGAAGAACTTCCGCTCTTCCTAAGTTCTTTCAGGCTGTCTCAGAGCATCTCAGATACTGGTAGACTCAGGATGAGACTCAGTTGGAAGTGTCTCAGAAAGGGTTTTGAAGTTGGCAACTTGACCATTGGGTGGTCGATCTGGATGCAGGGGCTGGTATCTTCTCTCTAGTCATTCTAATGCTCTGGATCACCGAGAGATTGAGCAGCCTCCAGCTCCTCCAGGACGGTGACCAAAGAGACCACACAGGTGGTGGGCAAGGTGGAGAGCTCCCAAAGAAGCCTGTTTCCCTCTCAGCTCCTGGTGGCAGTGGACCAGGTCTCCCTCCTAGGGTCTAGGGAAGCCTAAACTGCCATTGCCCTGTCCCCTCACTCTCTTTACCTGGTGGTCTTCTCTGCATCCCTCCCTTCCTGGCATCTTGCCCAAGCTCCTTAGTTGCCATCTTGGTCGGGTAGCTTGAGCCATTGAGCTGCTCTGCTCACCCTGCCCAACCTACTATCCAGGGGATCACTCCCCCTGTCATCAGCCTCTATTTCTCCCTGGTTCCTTCTTCCTGTTCAGCCAGACTTCTTTCTTGTTTGAGCATTTGTCTCTGCCTATCTGAAGTTGCCACCTCTTCATCTTTGGCTGGTTTCAAGTCAGCACACCATTTATTTATTTATTTTCTTGCAAACAGTTGCCTTCCTAACCCATCTAGATGGCCCTTCTCATCCAAGGCACAGGAGTCAAAGCATCAGACACCAGGGAGGGTAAACATTCTCAGCTGCCAGAGTTCTAGCTCTGCCCACCCTACTCTCACCCTATGCCATTTAGTTATCTAAGGCATCTAGCAGTGGGTCTTCTCTGTCTCCAAGCTCCTCTTCCATCCCCTTCCAGTGTATCTCTAACACAATCAGCAGCCTCAACAGACCAGTCTTGTGTCTTACCTAAGCTGGGCACATTTCATCTAGGCTGTGAACCCCATTGGATAGGAGGCTTCCTCTGGAGTGATGGTGCTGGCTTCTACCTCTTACAGCAGGCCTTGTGGGGAAAAGCATCGAGTTTGGGGCCT